CGCTAGTTGGTTTTAGTAATACTGATATTATATTTATTAAGTTCTTATTTCTTGTTAAAATTCAATTTTATTATATTTTAATATTTTTTAGTTATTGAAATTATAATATAAAAAATAATTTATAAGAATATGATGATTTAAATATTATTTGAAGTAAAAAAAAATAATTAATTATGTATTAATAAAGTCGGTGTCTAGATTTAAATATTATTTTATTATATAAATCTTAAATTGTTTATTTATTAATAAACTTGTTTCTTTATAAAATGTTATGTTGTCTGTAATTAATAGGTTTCATTTTAATTATATTGAACAGTTTAATGCATCTCCTTTTCAATATAACAGTATATTTATAATATCTTTGTTCTTATAAAGAAAACAAACCAAGATGTAAATATTTGTTGATAACAAGAGGATGGTGAAGTAGTAATAAGATGTATAATAAGAGTGGTTAAGAAATACAATGAAAAAGTGCATAAAAAGAAAAATGTAAATAAAAAAAAAATAATAATAAAAATAACACCAATAAGAAATATAAAAAAATAACAAAGAATTATATTAAAGTGAAAATAAGAAGTAAATGAGAAAAAGGAGAATATCAAGAAACAAATAAAAAATAATTCAGAAATCTTTTATTTCTTTTGTACAAAAAAAGATAAACCAAAAACTATTTTATTTATTTTTTATTCTAACTAATACAAATCTTTCATACTTAATATAAATTGAGACAGTTACAATATTTATTGTTTAAACATACATAAGGCCTTTAGTAAATACTTTTATTGTAATTTTTAATTTTCTTAATACTGGGCGTTATATTACTTTTAGCAAAACCTTAAAAGGTTTTAATTAAAATAGAGTATATTTAATTGATGTGGTTGAAGTGCTTGAACAATGATGTTGTCATTACACTTATAAAAATAAACATTTAGTGTAACCTCAGAAACTAGTATTTTTCTTAAACAAGAAGAATAAATAATTTTAACATCTGTGCAATGTACCATCGATAAATCAATAAACTCTGTTTTTATGTTTTTTAATTTTAGTTTAGATATTTTAGCAGGGAAAGAAGTTAATTGGCAATTCATATGAATAAGCATATTAATAACTCTATTTATTGAAAGAAGACAGTTTTCTAAATTTACAAATTTTTCAATTTTTGAATTTCTTGATACAATTTTCATTAGTGTGTTTGGAAGATAAAGTGATTGAGAAAATACATTACACAATATCAAATGTTTTATATGACATTTTAACAAATTAATTTTTGTTTTATTAATCCTCTTCAACAATAAAAATTTACATTCTACTGGAACTAACTGTTTTAATTCTGTTATTTCTATCATTCTTATTGAAGAACATGATATCTTTTTTATCTCACCATTTACAATTAAATGGTCAATAGAATCAGCAATAAGATGTTGAATTGTTGTTCCTGATTCACAAATAACTTTTGATGATGTAGATAATTTCATTTTATTAATATGACTTCCACAACCACTAAACCTAATTGAACATTTTCTAGTATTTATAAATTTATCAATTGACCCAAAGATAATAATCTCTTTAACCTGTGCCTCAGAACAGTTAATTTCATAACAACTTTTAATATACAACGAACTATCTTTCTCATAACTAATTACAGAATTATCACCTTTAAACATAGAACCAAACACTTCATTATTTTCTGTAATTAAATATTGATTTTCTTCACAAAACTCCCTTCTAAAATGTTTTAAAGAAGAAGAAATTGGAATGATACAATACGAACAGGAATTTAAACTTATACTTTGTAATGATAAAGGAACTTTCTTGAATTTAATATTTTTACATGAAATAAGTTCTAGTTGTACAAGTCTTTCACAACTTAATTCATTTTTTCTCTCAACATTCTGCAAATGTAATTCTGTAATATTGTTTATGGAAAAAATTATATTTGGATTAATTGAGTTTATTGTTAATCTAAGTAGCTGAATAGGAATAAAAAGATTATATTCATTAAATAAAACACTAATATTTAATTCTAAAATAGATGTTGATTGTGAAAGATCAATACATTTAACATTTGAAAATTTAACTGTAGTAAAATATTTTGAAGAAATTATAAGAGATGAATTGTAGTTTTGATTAATTTGGTTTAGTACTTTATAACTTGTTTCTTTATTGTTAAAACAATCTGGAGATACTATAATTGAACTTAATGGTTTAAGTATAAAATCAATTGTTAATGGGTCGATTAAATAAGAAATAACTTTGATTTGTTTAATTTCTTTTAATTTATCTAATAACATTTTTGTAAATGAATGGATGATGATAATTACATTAATCCTGTCAAATTCAAAGGTTTTAATACAAGGAAGAAGTTTTATCATTTTCTTTGGTTCAGTACAATGAATGATAAGAGTTCTAATTGTTCTCATTCCTTTTATTTTTTCTATAGAATATGTTAATGAATCTATCCAAAGTTCAATTCTTCTTAACTGAATAAAAGATGTTATATTCTTAAATAATAAATTTGCTTTTTTTCTTACAATAATTGACTCTATTTTACGCCATATTTCTTGGTAGTTAAGAATACATTCATTTGGGTTTTTAAATAATTGAATTTGTTGAAAATTCCTCAACTCAATTTTCTTTAATTTATTTCTTCCATCTAATGTTTGAAGATGTTGATAAATATTAATCATATCATTTATATGACTCTTTGAGTAAAAACCATTAATTTTCATTGTATGCACTGAATTTTTACATTTCTTTGATACTTGCATAAACAAAATAATTTGTTTAAAGTCAGCAATGAATAAGGCGACGTTTGTTAAATAATTCATTTCTAATATACATCTATGACGTAACACTTTCATATTTTATACTGAATAAGAAGAATGAATTGAAAATGAATAGGGTTGTTCATTGATTAAAAACAAATTTTTTGTATTTTTAAAAAACAGAATATGAAAAATAAAAAAAGAGAAAGAAAAAGCAAAAGCAAAAATCAATGTTTTCTTTAGCCAAAGAAGTCGTTTCATTATGTAAGAAAAAACCCAATCCATCACTTAAGATAATGATTGTAGGTATTGACGGTGCTGGAAAAACACACTTCGAAGAATATTTTGGTTCTATCATTGGTCATATTCCATTACAAGAGGTTTATGAAATGACAACAATTGGAGTAAATACAAAAGTTATTCAATATGGTGGATTTGAATTATCGTTATGGGACATAGGTGGTACGGCTTCATTTAGAAATGTATGGAAACGATATCTCAATGAAAGTAACTGTATTATTTATTGTATTGATTCTTCAAATGAACAACGCTTAAATGAAGCGTATGATGCTTTTACAGAATTTAAACGTTCAGATAATAAAGATCTTCCAGTATGTTTTGTTTTAACTAAAAGCGATCAACTTCATCCAACAGTAGACCTTTCAGTAAAGTCATTTATCACAACCCAATCATGTGTCTCTAGTATTAAATATTTTTCAATTAAAACTGCACACAATGAGATTCCTCAAGTTGAAGATATTGCAGATTGGTGTATTCAGCATGCATTATTTTAAAATGAATGATATTCTTTAAGTTCTGTCAATTCAATAGAAAAGTAATGAATAACAATTTTTCTGTTTTATTTTCATAGAATAAGAATAGATAATACTAATATAAATTTTCTTTAGTTTGAGAATGAGAGAAAAACAAACTAAACACGAAATGAATGAAAAAGAAAAACACAAAATAAAAAAACTTAAAAATTAAAAAATTTCAGGTAGTTGCAAATGGAAGACATCTGTCGACATAAGGTTGTTTTTATTGGAGATTGTTCAGTTGGTAAGACATGTATTATTGGTAGATTTACGTCGAAAATTTTTGATATGAGTTATGATGTTTGTTGAAAATAATGTTTTACTAAAAAAAAAGAGAAAAGAGTTTACAAACAAAGGCAACTATTGGAACAGATTTTGTTACTCAAATAATGGATGTTGATAATAAAAAAATTGAATTACAAATATGGGATACAGCAGGTCAAGAACGTTACCGTTCATTAATTCCAAATTATATTAGAGGTGCATCTGTTGTAGTTATTGTATATGATATTAGTGGTTTGTTTGAAGTAATTTAAAGTAATAAAATATAATTTTAATTTATTAGATAAACAAACATTTAATAATATTGATCACTGGTTTGATGAAGTACCAGATAGGAATTCAACATTAGTATATATTGTTGGAAATAAAGTTGATAGTGAACGTGGAGTTACAAAAGAAGAAGGAATGCAGAAATCTTATAAATGGTCTGCACGATTTATTGAAACATCAGCACTAAAAGATATTGGGATTACAGACCTTTTTGAAGATATAGCATCAAATCTTGCCCCTTTATCCCCTAAATGTACAGAAGCACCACTTCGAATAAATGAGCCTACATCAAGAAATTGTTGTTAGAATTTAAATAAAAGAAAAACATTTTTTTTTTGCTATTTAAAGTTTTTAATAAAAATAAAATATTTAATGTTAATTTAATAACTTTAATTTATTACCTATCAATTTTAAATTTCTTTCAGTTTCATAGAATCTTATTTCTTTTCCTTTTAGAATATTTCCATTATTTTATTATTCAAGAAAATAATAATTTAAATAAGTTATAATAATATCTTTGATTATTTTTAATATTTTTAAATAATATAATAAAAAAATAAGAAGTATTTAAATTTTATTAATAAAAGAATAACAAATAATAACTAAATAACAAAAAAAAGAAATTAATTAGTTTAATTTAAGCCTTAATGTTATTTTTCTCTTTTACTGCTTTAATTTTTTTATTCATTTTTATTTGAGTAGTTTTTAAATCGCTTTGAGCATTAATTAATTTTTGTTGTAATTGTTTTTTAGTATTACCAGTAGTCTTTTTAATTTGTTTTTCAAGTTTATTAATAGAAGCTTTTTTATTAGCTACTTTATTTTCATATTTAGTCTTAACCAAACGTTCAACTTTTTTAGCTTCTTTCTTTTGAGTTTTTTCAGCTTCTTTTAATTGTTTAGTGACTTTAGCTAATTTGGCTTTTCCTTTATTATCAAGTGGTTTTTTTTCAAGTTGTTTAATTTGTTGTTTAAGTGTTTCAGTTTTTTTAGTAGCGGCTTTAGCTTTTTCTTGTGTAACTTTAACTGCTTTATTTATTTCTACATTTGTTTTCTTTTCAGCTTTTTTAGCTTTTTTTAATTCTGCTTTAACTGATTTAATTGCTTTCTTTTGTTTGGCTTTTTCTTTAGCAAGTTTTTCAGCTTCTTTAGCTTTTTTTTGAGCTTCAACTTTTTCTATTTCAGCCATAGCAAGTTTTTGTCTTGCAATAGCAGTTTTTTTATCAATTTTTGCTCTTTTAATTTGTTGTTTATGGAATTCTTGAAGTTGTTGTTCAGTAAATCCACTAGTAGAGGTAGCGTCTTGAATCATTTCTTTAACAGAATTAAATCGGTATTCAATTTTTAGTCTTCTTAAAATGGCTAATCGTTCTTCTGCAGGAAGTACTGCTATAATCTTTTCATTGCAGTAAGAACTCTTTTTTTTTCTTCTATTAACATAGAGTCTTTATTTTTTAACCACATTTGAACTTGTGATATTTTAGCTTTATCTGCTGCTCTAATTGCTTTCTTAAAATCTAATGAACTTTGATCTAACTTTCCCAATACGTGTCTCTCTAAATCTTCAATTTCAGAAAGTCGACTTTCAAGTATTCCTACTTTCTCTTCTATCTTATAAATAGGTGATACAAAAAATCCTGTCACCCCTTGTTCTTCTTCTGCAAAACTTCCTACACTCATTATAAATAATATAAATAAATGCAACATTAAAATTATAAATTTTTTCAGTTCTTTATTAGTTCATTTTTATTATTTCTTCCTTATTCTTTGACTTTTGCTACTTTTCAATTATTTTTTTTATTTTTACAAATATTTTAAAAAATAAATTACAATAATTATTTATAATAATAAAATAATTTAATATTATTATTTTTTATTTAAAATTATAAAAAAATTAAAATAAAATGAAAAAAAACTAAAAAAATTAAAAGAAGAAGATTATCAGAACAAAAACAAAACAGTTGTCTTATCAGTTCATTGCTTTTTTTTTGTTTACTTTTTTTTTAGTTTCAATTATATTTATTCTTTCATTTAATTTTTTTCTTATTTTTTTAATATTGAAATAAATGAATAAAAATATTAAATTTGCAGTAAGAATATTAACAATAAAGTATATAATAAAGAAAAAGGAGAGAAAAGAAAGTTTTTTGTATCAAATAAGTTTGTTTATTCAATTTTTAGAGATTTTATATTTTGAAACTTTGAAAATAGTTTCAAATAATTTCTTTCTATTTTTAGTTTAGTTTTGTTTTAGTATATTAATTTCTTATGATTTTGAAAGAAGAACTTCTTTTTAATTTATGTGTGACTCAAGTGAAGACCAACAATTTTTAGAATTAAATAATTTTCTTGAATCAGATGAAACAAAAACTTCTAAACAAATTCCATTAGAACCACCTCAATCATTAGTTGATACACGAATTGATCAACATGAAGAAGAAACTAAAAAAGAAAATCATATTAACGAAGTTAAAGAAGAAGAAGAAAAAAAAGAAGAAGGAATTTTAAAAGAAAATAATGTTAGTGAAAAGGCTGAAATATTTAACCAACCATGTCAACAACCAATAATAAGTCCATTATTACATAATCCATTAATTAAACAAGAAATTTCTGAGCATACTGAAGAATTTACTGAACATGAAGAACCTCAAATTGGATTAATTATTTATGTAGCTAATCTTCATTTTGACATAACTGAAGAATTAATACATAAATACTTCGATCCATTTGGACCAATCATCGGTGTTGATATTGTTTATAAACCTCAAACAAATGAATGTCGTGGATTTGCTTTTATTAAATATCAAAAAACTGAAGACGGTAATAAAGCAATTGAAGCTTTAAATGATAAAGAAGTTCAAGAACTTACTAAAACTAAATTAACAGTTAAAGTAGCTACAAATCAACAAACTCATAAAAAGAAAGAGTTAAGAAAAACTGTAGAACCTACAACAATCCCTTCTAAATATCCTCCTTCACAAATGTTTAATGACCCAATGATGATGTATCAACAATTTTTTTTACAACCAATGGGTAGTGCTCAACAACCAAACCAATCAACAAATACACAAAAACCAATGTATAACCCTGGAATTCAAATGCCCCAATATCAACAAGGCTATATTGGTCCAATGGGATATTGGCCAGATACAATTTATCATCCACAAGAAAAACAAAAAGCAACATTATATATCGCTCATTTACCTCAAAACACTAATGAACTTTTCTTGTATAAAAATTTTGCAAAGTTTGGTGCAATTGAACAATGTAATTGTTTATATGAACCAACTACAAAATTATGTAAAGGAGTTGGTTTTGTTACTTACATGGACTCTAGTGATGCATATAAAGCAATGCAAGCTATGAATAATAAAGTTTTTGATGGACAACCAATAAAAGTCAAATTTAAGAACCAAAAGTAGAGAATTAGACTTTGTTGAATTTTAAGAATTTTGATTTTTGATAAAATTTTTTTTTGATAATTTTAATTAAAAGATTTAATTTTGATAAGTCTGATTAAGTGAAATGAAGGAGATTCTACTTAGTCAAACTTATCTCTTTTCTTTTACTCTTTTTATGAATTAGTATTTAAACCTGTTAATCAAGAAACAAGTCCATTCATATGATCAGTGAAACTATTATTGCTCTTATTATTATCGGCTGTACAGCTAATAAAGAAAGAATTATTTATAAGGATGGTGTTTTTTCAAATGGATATCAAGCCAAAGAATCTACTGGATATATTTCTACTACTTCAGAGTATCACAACCAAATTGTTATTTCAGTTACGTTATCAAAAAATAAATATGTTAACTTCAAAACTAATTCAGTAACTGATTTATCTCCTTACAAATACCTTTCATTTATTGTTTCTTGGGAACAAGAAGGAGTTAACCTTGGTCTTGCTGTTTCTATTGGAAATGATGATTCAATGAAACAAATTCCAGTAACTTCAGGAATGTCTGTTAATAAGCTTAACCGTGTATATGTTGATATTTCTTCATTAACAGCTAATTCAACTAAAGACAGCCTTGTTAGAATTTTCAAAACAGATAAAACAGATTCATCTATTTACTTTAATGATATTAAATTTACTGAAGAAAAAGGAACAGAAGGAATTTATTCATTCTCAACTGATATGGATGAAACTGATGGAACTAAAACCTGTTTCATTGTTTTATTTATTGCCATGCTATTTATGGCTCTATAAAAGCAACTTAACATATTAAATTCTAAAGAATTTAAAAGAACATTTTTTTAGTTTTTATTTTCTTCATTAAAACAATAATCAAAAATAAATATGACTATAAACTTCAATTCAACAAACAAAAACAGAAAAATAGAGGTCTTCAGAGACCATCTTCTATAATCTTCTTTTTACTTTTGACTTTCAATCATATGATGAAGAAGTTTATTTCTTTCGTCTCCTATTTTCTTTAGTTGTTCTACACGTTCTAACACTTCTTGAATTACTTGACTTTCTTCATCACCAATCTCATCAGATTCTTCAAAGTCTTGAGAAGAGTTTTCTTCTTCTAACTCTTCTGAATCATCACGAATTTCATCTTTTAGTGAGCAAGTGATACCAAAATCATTTAAAGTAATTGGTTGTTCACAAGTTATTTGATCAGATGATAATTTTGAATGTCGTATTGGTGAAAATTGTTGTTGATCATTATTTCCAAGAAAAGACAGTGTTGTACTTGTTTGTTTAAGTTGATTTGTTGAAGAGTTGATATTATCAGTAGTTGATCTTTGAATTTTTTGTTGGTTTTGTTGTTGCATTTGTTCATCGAATACAAAGACATCTTGGTCAAGAAAAGCAGGATTATCATAACGTGCATTTTCTTCTGAGTCTTCTTCTACCATTGGAGTATCCATTGGAGTAACAACTAATAAAGGAGAGTAAACTTGTTTTGGAGCAGGCATAGAAAAAGCACCAATGGGTGAGTATCCATAAGAATTCTGCATAAATAAATTAGGACGAGTAGATAAAGGAACAGGTCTACAAGTAATAATCGTATTGTCTGGTCGTTGTGTTGACATAGAGTTGTTTTATTAAACTTTGAACTCACTAGTTACAAAAATCAAATGAAGCTTCTTCATTTGATAGAATGTACGATTGGATTAATAGGTTTTTCTTTTTTCGTCTATTCTATTTCTAAAATATTCTACCTTTTTTTTTTTATTCTCTCTTTTTCTTATCATTCATCTTGTTATATAAAGATGTTTTTCAATTGAAAAAGATAAGAAATTTCAATATGAAACAAATACTTTTCTTTATTCAATTTTTTAATACTATAATGAAAAAATTAACTTGTTTTCTGTTGATGACTTGCAGTCCCCAAGAAGTCCCCTAATGAAAAGTCTTGTTCGTATTTATTTATTATTGTCTTTATTGATTAGACTCAATTTATAATAAAAGTTTAAAAAATAATTTTTACTATTTCATTGTTCTTATTCAAAGCAAAATATTATCTAAATGACATTACCATACAAATGAGTTATAACTTTAAATGGACAATACTTATCACTATCTCAAATTATCCTAATATGAGAAGTTTGTATAAAAGAAAACAAATAGTACAGAATCAATCAAATATTTTATTATAGTACAATGAAAAATAAAACTAACTAATAATTAATTAAATAAAGTAAATATGCAATTACATATCTCTTTTGTTAAAAAGATAATAGCTATCAAATTAAGAGTTTGTTTATAAGAAGATACTAATAGAAAACGATGGAAAAGAATAATAAATGATAAAGAAGTATTCAAATTTGAATAGAGAGTGTTCTATTCAAAAAGAAATAAAATATAAAATTTTATACAAAACCAAAGTATTTATAAAATTAATTCTTTCAATAAATGAGTTAATTCTTCATTTTAATATAATTTATTTATATTAAAGAAAATTATTTTTAATACTTCAATAATAAATAAATTGAATAAGTAATAATATTAATGAACTTTTATAATTAATATTTAATGGTACTTATTTTAAACATGTATCATATTAATTAAAAATAAAAACTATAAAATTAAAATCTTTAATATTATTTATATGAACTCTCGTTCTCTTATAAGTCAAATGTTAACTAACTCAATTGAGTTGTTATTAAAGCAACGCCAATTAAACAATCAACAAAAAATGAAGATTTTAAATGAGATAAGTGATATTTTGAATGATGATCCGATGATTCGAGAGTATTGTATAACGATAATAAGAGATCAAATTAGTTGTTGGTTAAACAATAAATGGAATATGTGTAATAACCAAAATCAAATGATGTACATTGGAGAATTATATAGTTCATTTGAAACTATAAGAAATCAGGTTCAAAGGATATTTTTTATGTTAGAAGATCATAAAAAAATTACAACAATTTATAGTTTTAAAGAAACAATTGAATCAGTATGGAAAGACTTTTTTAAAACTATTACTCTTCAATGTGACTTAAAAAATCAATTAGAAAATTGGATGAAAGATATTATTTTAAAAAGAAATGATGATATTAAAAGGTTTTGTTTATTAGTAGAGTTTTTAAGTAAAACTAATGAACGTAATATTTGTAATGAAATAATGAAAGAAAGTGTTGAAAATATATTAAGCTATTTTAAAGAATATCAAAAATCAGTTGATGCATCAATTCCAATATCAATACAAATTTTTCAATTTTATACAGAAACAATAAATACTATTAAATTAATACCAAAACAATACTTTGATTATTTTTCAGTATTTATTTTATATAAGTTAGTAATTAAACAACTTTCTCTTATTGTTCAAGACCTTCAAGATTTTTGGCAAAATAATGATTTTAATTCATTAAAAAAAAGTATTGGACTATTAAATAATTCACCATTAACTACTAATGAATTGTTTTTTGTTCAACAAGAAAATATAAAATGGTGTATGAATTATATTAAAAAAAAAACAAGTAATAATATAGAAATAAATTTAACGTATTTGTTAGATGTTTTTAATGATTGTTATCAATTAGTTAAATTAGAAAATACAATACCGTTTATTAAAATAGCTTTGAGTCAATTTGTTATTGAATGGGAGTTATTTAAAATAAAAGAAAATGAAATAATAAATGATCTTAGTTATCGTATAAGTAAAATAATAGATTCTGGAAATTTAGAAGAATTAAAAAAACTGTTTTTTATTGTAGAACTTCTTCCAAATAAAGAAGTTTTTGAAAATAGTTATTGGAAATTATTATTTACTAAATGTATTAATCGTAAATTAAAAATATGTGATTTGAAATTCATTTATAAAACTCTTTAAAATA